GCTGGAAATGAATGTTCTCCTTTGCAGTTTAACATGAAAGCGAACTAGCATGCAAGCTAGAACTACCTGCGGCACTCTTCTTCATCACCCTCTACCATATATCCTTACAGATGAAGCTTTCAAAACACTATGCATCTTTCTCCAAGACAGTTTCTTACTTGAATACATCAGACAGTGATTTTCTCCTAATTTGAATGCAGAAGCTTAGACAGGACTCAGTGAAACTTTAAATTTTCCCTTTTCCACTGCAAATATATTCTCCACATATTAATTCATCTTAGTCTAGAAGCTGGATTTAATGTTTTATAAGATATTTTTTTTAAAATCAAGGTGCAGATGTGGGGAATTGTATCCTGACTAGATGTGTTAAAGGAATATTAAAACAGTTGTGTGAAAAAAAAAGTCTCATAAAACATCCAATCCAACAATTTTTCAAAATGCTACCAATAATGCATCATGACAACAGAATGGATTCTTAATGAAAAAATACATTAGAAAGTCCAAGTATGCGATAATGCACAGTGACATCGCAATGGGTCATTTCTTTTGTTTGCACAGAAGTCAAGGGCACAGTCTAGCTGTACACTGCACAACACATGAAATGTGAGATGCCAGATTGGCGTGGTCAACTATATTATCGTCCAACATCTGTCTCCCCACTACACATACCATAGCTGCATGCCTAGTCAGTCACTGAATGTAAGCGGTCGGTTTAGAGCAGCAGTCCATTAAGATTGGACAGTCAAATGTCTTAAATGATATATATTACATTAAATTGTGTAAAAATTCAAACTACTAAATTAATGTAATGCCTTCCTTGAAATCCCTTGATCTTTTCCTTTGTTTGCTTGTTTTTGTTTGTTGCTATCTAATTATGTATCACGAATGCTAGCTAATTATTTATTTTGAAAATGTAAGAACGAGCTTGTATCTCAACATGTGTGATGTGATTTGTTGGGCAGAGACTACCAAGATCCAATCAAAGAAAATGCCATCAAAACATAAAAAAACACACACTAACACACTATGTTCTCTCTTCATTACAAGCACTCAAATGACAATCATGAAAGTACACTTGTACATGCACACACCAAAAGCCACTTCGATTTTCCACACAATAGAGATTTCAACCTTTAAAACAGAAGACTACCTAATAGTTTGCTATTACATTCTTAACTCAGTTTATGTAGAAAGGAAATTCGGTTGTCAACTTACTATGAAAGCCAGAAAATTGTGTTTAGTCTGTGATTTTATGGCTGAAGAAGCAGACAAGACTGCTGTATAGCAAACTATGGACTATGGCGTACTATTTAGGAAATTATTAGACAGGTTTGAACACAGTATTTAGTTCTGTCTGGCAAAGGAAAGACAAAGGTCTTTCAATAGGCAGTCTGTGAATAATTTCATTTCTTCAACATTCACTTCACATATTTTAACTTTCCATATGTTCATCACAAATATATTTAACTTCATAAAACATATATTTGCAATATACGTCTTGTTTATGATTGGCCCTTCTTGCATCTAAACTAATTTATGCTTTCAGTTTATATTGTTTGGCAAAACGATCATCTGGCAAAAGGGACAGTGTGAGTTAAATTACAGCAAATATCTACAAAACAGTAATATTTAGTAATCTTTCTTCTTACCTGAGAAACTGATTTGAAGTATATTCCTCAACATTCAAATGGTGGAAGGATCTTTTAAAATGAATGGCCAACAGGGATGATCCTCATGACTGCTCAAACTCTTTCACTACAGAATTGTTTGCTTCTCCAGAAAGGAAAGGGGCACTTTCCTCTTTTGAAGGAAACTCCTGATAATTTCCTTCCTCTGTACGACAATAACAACTGCATTCAAGCAACCAGGTCATATCCTGTGTTTAAAGCAAAGCTTTCACAAAGCCCTTTTCAATAAGAGGTGTCTGTTACGTTTGTGTTGATGAAATTTAATGTGTCATAGATTTTTAACTATAACATATTACAATTATTATATAAAACCATTAAACGTGGTATTTTTGTGAATTACCAGTAAATTTTAAGTATTTATAGTATATATTTATAAATATTGTATTTCTAATCTCATTAAATAAAATAGTCAGATATGAAAAAAAAAAGGTTTAAAACATCTTGCAATAACGTAAGTCCTCGTGATATCATTACAAAAACGCAAGTTAAAAGTGTTTTGAAGAATAATCAGTATCAGTGATGTTGTATTTTAACTCAACCACTGGGGGGTGTAGTCACATTTTAGTTTTATATGGCCATACTCAATATCATAAAGGTTAATGATTTAATATTAACCGGAATTTAAGACTGGTCCCCATAAGATATAAACCACAAGGTTAAAAGTAAGTAAGTCTTACTGGGTGAGGATGTGGGTAATTATAGAGGCTACAAACCCAGAAACATGGGGTATAGTACATCAGTAGTGAAATAGATACTTGGTTTTACCACAAGTTCACTTGCAGTGTTTCAGTACAGTGTTGAGCTATTTTAAAGTGTTAAATATAAAGATGGAAAAGATTCTTCATTATTCATATTTTTTCATTATTCATTATTAATAAAAATGTATATAATTCCATTTTTTGTTGCTAGATGATAAATATGGCATTGTGATTTGAACTCTTTGAACAAATGCTACTTCCAGATGATAATACATGTTAGCATAATAGGTCACTACCAGCGTCAACACATGTTACAGTGTTGTAGCTGTGTTTGATTTGTTAAGGTGTGCTGCATAAGTTAGTGTAATTGGGTTTTTTTTTGTTTGCTTTTTGCTTTTTGTTTTGTTGTTTGTTGTTGTTTGTTGTTGTTTTTTTTTGTTGGGTTTTTTTAATGTGCGTGAATGTTTGTCTTTAGGGGGGGGGGCTTTTTTAAAGGAAAATGGGGAAAGAGACCCCTAAAAGTAAAACCTCAGTATTTTTTGCTTATTTGTTTGTTTTTGGTGTTTTGTGAAACACAGTTGAGGCAGGTAAGGAGCTTTTAAGTAAAACAGTTTTATTTTATTTTATTATATATTTCTGCTTTCTGTACAATCCATAGTATCACAAGCAGTGACACAGGTCTGCAATTATTTACTTTTTTCATTAATGCAAAAGGCCTTTGGTTTTGTTGAAGAGTAAATGTGTGTACTTTGGTGAGCTTCATTTTGAGAATAACTCCAAACTAGTAATAAAAATTGAAGACACATTACAGACCTTCTAAATTTGAATTAAGAACTCTGGAGTCAGGTATAAATTTGTTGTGTTTTGTTTTTACATCAATTTTTGAAAAGCTCATCATTTTTACTAAAGTATATTATTTTTTTTGCGGGTCATATTTAAAATTTAAATTAAAATAAAAATAAAAAAAAGTTGGAAATATTTGAATTTATATATAATGGATATAAAACAAATAAAAGTCAGATTTTTTATTTTTATTTTGTTTTAGTGATATTGAGTTGTACAGTATATGTTCAAGGTTCAAGGTTCTTTACTTGTCACATGCATAGTTATACAAGTATAACACACAGTGAAATGTA